CAGGACTCGTGTCCGTTGATTCTCTTTAAGCATTGACTGGCCAGTTAAGGGCTTTGAAAGACAGATCCAATGGTGAAGTAAAAATCGAAGGAAAATCAACATCCTTTCGCCAAATCAAAGTAAATACAGAGGAACGTCAGAATAAGGGATAGAACTTTAAGTTATGGGCAGATTGGAAGAATCCATTGTAAAAACCCAACATCTGGGACTAACGTCTTCCACCTCTTTTCATACTTTTTATATTAACACTTTTTCTGACAAAAATATGCTCTAAAGCTACTAAGAATCATCAAAATTTAAAAGGGACTCGTATAAAAAAGATTGAAATGATGGTTCCAAGTTTTGAAAATGCTTAGCCAAAAGCAGTACTAAATGCAATGAATTTGTTACCTTAGTCTACACAAATAATTCAAATATAATTTTTACTGCTTCGATTTAACAAATATCGTATCGAAAACCCACTTTCTATTTAAATTACAAAATCTAGAAAAATTGACCAATGACTTAAATTTAAATTTTTGAATTTAGATTTTTGAGCATTAAAAATTTAAACCACAAACCGTAAAAATTTATCAAACACTTCATCACAGATTGATCAGGAAGGACAGTCAACAAATTGGATCACAAAGCGAGTTCCAAACTTTGCATTCCTGACAAGCGAATTCAGCAGCTAAAATGAAAGTAAACTTCGTTTGAAAAAGATTTAAAAGTCTAGCATTTGAAGGAATATTAAATATTGTAAATCCTCTCGTCTTCATTATTTAATATGAAATCTAAGCTGGAAAAGGAAGGACCAGACATTTTTAGGTAGAACACATCTATATAATATAAATATATAATTTACGTTGGGATGATGACTTTAGATATGATACTGTTATATTCAAGTTATATCATCTTCGTGTATATTCGCAGAATTATAGCTGCACCTACGAAGTCTGTTTGATATATCAGATTATAATCCATTGGATAACAAATAAACATAGCTTGCCAGCTTGTGAAATTTTTAGTCCAGAAACCAGGGGCGGTTTGAAGCAACAATGATGGGGGGGGGGGTGTTAGACACTAATTTTGGTGCCACACCCTTCAGGTCACTGGTAACTGATGGAAACGCCCATTTTTGAGATTTGGTTTTTAACTGTGGCGTAGCCAGATTTGGAAGATTGGTAGGCCAAAAAGGAAGATATTTTTGCTGATCACACCCTTAAGGATTTGGAAAAACACCCATTTTGTAAATGTGTTTGAAAAAGCCATGGCATTTTTACGTGGCAATTTACCTTTATTCAACGTCATAGGTGGCGTTGCCATATTCTAAAACTGTCTATTTCCTTCACAGTTTCACTAACGTTTAAATCCTGAATTGTGTAAGGCGAGGAATCTCTACGTGTAAAAAGTGATTTTCCAAATATCGAAAAAAATTAACAGTATTCAAAAGTTTTAAACCAAGTCCATTTTCCTTGGAGCAACAAAGTCCACAACAAGCATTTCCGAGTCCAGTTTTTTTTAAAGATTGGACTGCTTCAGCCTTTTAGTTTTTATTTCATCATGAATGTCTCAAGAATGTGAATATTTTTCTAGACAAACCCAAAATCGAGGGGAAATTACCGAATATTGAGGCTCCAGGAAAATTTTTGCGACCATGTCTTTGAGATCAGTTTAAAATACATTTGAGAGTATCCCCCCCCCCCGCTACGCTACTGATAAGAGGATAGATACTGATAAAAGTAAGAAAAGTAAAATCTTGGCGTTACTTTGTAACTATTGACTACCAACAAGTGATTTTTACCGAATGAAACAAAATTTACCGAAGGACACAGAACTATTGGGGGGTGTCGCACCCTCTACATCCGTCCCTGTCAGAAACTCTTGAAACTATATGACCTATGCGTTGATATAGCTTTTCTGAAGGGTGCGAGTGTGTATGTAGTCTGAAGACGTTACAAAGCGGCATTTAGATTGAGCCGGGGAGGGGGCCTTTGTAACCTCCTTGAGGATCCTACTCCACAACTTTGGCAATTTGTTACGACTATTGTTTTTTATGTCCATAAGCAAACAAGACGAGGGAAGGTCAAATGGTATTTTGGGGCTTTTCTTGCTATATTGGTCCACGCAGCTCCGATGTTTACGTATATATACAGACAACAATGATAGGTTGAAAACTTTCTGTCTCAAAAAACTGGAATTTCAGGGAACGGTCGACAAAAAATCGTCAAAGGTGAAGTCGATTTGTTTAGAAAGAAGAGAAAATTACATTTTTCTTTCAAACCAAATTCTAAGTTATATTAAGACCTTTGCCGATGTTCAAATTGACGTGAAGTGTTAAAGCGTTATTTGGATTACGACTAAAGCTGAAGCCTGAAAGAAGGCCAGACTCACACAGCTGTCGCTAAGGGAAGGCTTTAAAAAGTCTGACAAAATAACACATAAAGAATTATGTGGTGAACTGCTAAGTTAATATTTGCAAAAAAACTTAGAAATAATGAAACGGAAACTGTATGCAATAGAAAATAGTCGACAGCTTAAAAGACACTAAGCGCGACGCAAATCTTTTCCTTGTAAACTTAAAATTATTTTGCTCAATCTGAAATCATTTCCTAGCAACGACATCTGGTCCTAAATTCACGATAAGACCATTAAGTTCACCTATACTCGTGCTTTAAATAATAGCTAATTTTCAATTCATAGGATTATTGAAATTTGTTCGCTATTTACGAAGAAAGATATACGCTGGCATCCAAACTTGAAAGCTGTAGCCACACTGAGCAAAATCTTCATTACCAAAGCACCTCAACTTGCATTTACTATAAATATTAGGTAAGAATTTCGCTTTGATTCTAAATCCAGAAAATCTGTTGAGCTTACAATTCAAACAACTTGAAAACTTAAGCAATAGCGCTATTTGAAATAGACACAGGTAGAAGCAGGTGCATTTGATGTGCTTAGTTAATGATAAGCGGAGATTTTGTTCGTTTAAGTGTCTGTCTACATAAGAGTAGTCTAGGTGTCTCATATTGGTTTGTTCGCCCAACAGTCAACTGTGTATCAAGAAAGAGAAGAAAGGAGAGCACAGAATCTCAGGACAGGTATTTTTTAATGTAGGTACGCAGTCAGTAAAACATGTAGCCTCAACTGAATACAGTTAAAGATAATAAACGCCCTGAAGAAAAGTTATAAATGACAATGAAATCCATTTTGGTCTACTTTCTATCAATGAGTAAAAACTGAGGTACGCTTGTCTATATCTTAAAAAATATGCTATGTACAACGAATTTACTTTTCTGTTTATATTGGGTGATTAAAAAAGCGATAGGTGGCCACAAATTGAATCAAACACTACTTTGCTCAGAAACATATTGATAGCAATTGTACTTTGATTGTAAATAAGAAATTCATAGTTTTATCGCAGAATTGAGAAACCACACTAAACACCACACCAACAAATCTAAGGAAGGTAAATTATAATACGTTTCTAGAAGAGCATAGACACCAGCCTTTCCCTATCAAGACATCCACACAGGGAAGCACAGTGGGAAGGTTAAAATATGTTAATAAAAAACGACAACTACCTCCTTTGAAAGATACGTTAAAATTGGGTTCTCAGTTACTCTACCAGCAATAAAAGGAAGGATTGTAAGTACTTATGGCAGCAGTGATAGGACATTCATGTTTTCGATAGACAACGATTTCGGTCAACAAGCTATCAAAGTTTACAGCGTAATGACTTAGATGCACAATATCAGGGGGTTAGTGTCTGGAATCAAATACGAACTGTTTTTCGACACATGATATATACCTTGTTCAAACATTCACAACACTATGTTTGTTAAGTTGCTTGTGATCTACTTGTAATCTTTCATCTTTCCCCGTGCAAAGGTAAGGAGTAAAGAAAGGTGTTTGCATAAAAAATCTATGCAAAGATTCTTTATGCGTTGCTTTGAATAAAAGACGTATTAAAGAACTTGAGACCACCAGTACAAAGGGCATGAGTAGATGAACTTGAGACCATCAGTACAAAAGGCATGAGTTGATTCACTTCAATTTTTCTTTTCACTGTATGAATATAAATTCGAAAAGTAATGAGTATGGCTAATAGCTAGGCCATGACAAGCAGAATTTAGCATCAAAGCGACCGTTCTCTTATAGGTAACAGGCAGTCTCAACAGTAAAGTCAGTCTGTCAGGTAACAGGCAGTTTCATGCAGTTTTTGCATATAGTATAATGCCGGACCAAAACAACAAGCCTGGAATGGAACTGTGAGGGCTCAATACGGGAAGAGAAAAGAAAGCCACAAGAATATTGCAATGACCAAGCAGCCTTTTAACAGGACGGTGAAGTATAACGAATGTCAACCATCTTTAGTTCCAAGACCATGAAATTTAGCTGAAATTTAGCTGTTGGCTTAAGGCAGTTGCAATAAGCTGGAAAGCCATTATACAATGATTACGTCACCGTGCAACAACAGTGTGTTCCGATGGGTCTACAATATGAGCGACGTGGAAAATTCGATTCTAATCGTTTATAATGTCTTCCTTATTCCTTTCAGTCTGATTGCAAACAGTTTGGTTATATATACCGTGAGAAAAACAAAACAGGTTCATCAAGGGGTCAACAGCATGTTTATATTCTTGAGCATATCCGATTGCCTTATAGCTGCTATTTGTGAAATACCCAACATGGTATTACTTACTGCATACAGAAACCAGAGAAACTGCTTCCTGGAGTTGTGGGTGCAATACAGCTCTTCGTTTTTGTGTGTACTGTCTGGGATGATCATACTTTCAATTAGCGTTGATCGCTATATACAGACACAGAAAGCGATAAAAATGAAATTTGACAGAAGCAAACGAAGATCAATTTTTTTGATGATATTCTCACTATTGGTTGCATTCGTTGTGCTTGCTCTTGATATACACGGTACCTTTATCACCGATTACACATGGATAAACATGGCGATTCAGTTGACAGAACTGCTGGTAGTTGTCGCTGTTTGCTTGCTGTACATTTTGACGTACTACTCCGTTTCAAAGAACAGAAAAAGACATAACTTTATCCTAAATATGCAATCAGTACCGGAAAAAAGAAAGCATAATGTTCCTTATGTCAGGGCAATGATTGCAACAACAATCATGATTCTTTGCTCCTTGCTCATATGCTACTTCCCGCTGCTAATTCTTGGAATTATTACAGTTTTCAAGAGTACTCAGAAGAGTGTAACGCCAAGAACATTCTGGAACTATCTGTCATTTCATTTGGGTTTCACGAGTTCTTTCTTAAGTGCTGCTATCTTCTTGTATAGAAATAAACAATGTAGAGCATACATAGCTTTCCTGATATTTAGAAAGAACAAAGTAAGAAGAAAACATTCAATGACAAATACCTATGTTTTGCAGGGCCTAAGAAAAGTAGGTGGCGGTGTAAGACCCAGCAGTGGTGGACCAATAAGAGTCATGGCTATCTGATAATCATGAGAAAAGTACACTTCACCGTGACACGTTCTTATGAAGATAATGAGGTGCACCGTGCAATGCATCTCAGGCAGCAAAGTGGCAATCATCAATGTTGTTCCCAGGCTACTTGCAATTGACACTCATAATATACAACATAGATTCGTAACGATAACATGTGATAATTATTTATTATGCAGTATCAAAATAATTCATCATGACTGATAAATCATATAAAGTGTAAAAAAAGTATACTGCGATAGCTGTGATCGTTTTAAGTTTCAAATCAGATTTGAACAGTGAAGATAGATATAATAGGCAAATAGAGCTTGATGTATCTATGAGATTAAGAATTTGATACATATATTATTGTAGAATCCCAAATAGCATTCAACTAATATGCATGATCCAGACTTCCAACGTGATGCACAAGACAAAGTATAATGAACAGAATGAAACAGAATGTGGCAAAGAATAATGAAAAATAATGAGCAAACAGCTAATAATAAAATTTAACAGAGAAGATCGTTCCATCATTTCACCATCTGTGTACCTGATATTTGTGTTTACGTTTATGCGATGCAATAAGATGCAAGGAAATAATTAATATGTTACTTAATGCATAACAAACAGGCGAAGCTCGTTCTAAGAAGTATCAGTTTCTGAAAAAACAGGAAATGAAGAGTAAACGTTTGCAAAGAAATAAAGAGAGGTTGACACAAACTCAATAATATAAATTGAAGAGGACACATTCCATTTCTGCAAATTAGCTCTTGGTGGACTCTCTTCCTGTTAGCTAGGGGAAGGACGGGTTGCCGTTGTGGTTCTGCTATGGAGCTCCTGCGCTACCTGCATTTGCTACGCAAAAAAATTTTCTCCTTGAATTTGTAACGGATGACTGCATAAATACATATCTACCAGTCCACCAGTCACATTGGTCGCTAGTAATTTTTTGAAATGTTTTGTATTTTGAGTTCTTTTTTATCAAGGTCTTCAAAAATCATGACCTATCTGGAATGACACTATAAGAAATGCAATCTAAGCACATGGAGCTTTCCTTTTGCTCCTGGGGAAGCCTTAACATTTCTGCTCCAAAATGTCACACACGATTTATGCCCTTTTTCAACCTCAAGTAGTTAAAAACAATAGAACACTAGGCAAGCAGTTATGATCTTCACCGGCCTTTAGCCGATATACGCCGACATACACACAACTCTAAAAAGCGGTAGATTCACAAAAGAAAAATCAGGACCTAAATTCTACCAGGAAATAATCTGCTTTTCGACTTGGCCAATTTCAACTCAACCGAAAATATCTGAATGAAAATAAGTCCATCTGATTACCGCCATTTCAGATTGGCAAATTGGCCCTACGTGTCGTAATCCTCAAAGTTTGAAAATATGGTCACTCAGATTGGCTATAACAATAATTATTTTGATAATCATTTATTCAAGAATCAATAACTTCTTATTTCAGTTGACTGATTAATCTTCCGCTGCAGTGGTAAGTAAACACGAGGCAGCAAAAGCCATCGCAGCACTTGCTTAAACCAACATCCCACAATGGAAATTAATAATCAGATAACAAAATTAAGTTTTGCAGCTTGCTCGAGCAAATAATGCAAGAAGCCTTAGTCATATACCTAGTATCAATACCAGCGACTTTGGAAAATCCATTCAATAGCTGAAATCTTAAAATATACATTGATAAAACCAATCCTAACACCTCACTCACTACAAATCGGCCTATCAGAATTTGCTCATCCCTAAGACCTATCTGCAAGCCAGATCGAAATAACTGGGTTCTTTCATTGACAGTATATGTTTGGCTCTTCATACCATGAGTTAACATATAGCTCAATGCCAAGAGGTGTTAAACAATATAGAAAGGGTAGAAAGAAATTACCTGTGCTTGTCTTCACTTTGGAATTCGGGTAGATTGAGACTGATCTGTTGTCAATTTTTATACCACTGTAGGTGTAGTCTGCAATCTTGAAAGATATCTACAAAACAATTAAAATAAATTGTGCTTTACACTAAATACTTAACTTAAGGAAAATGTCTCTAAAATACGATTAACGTGAGAAGATAATTTCAGAAGACCTGATACATACAATGACGGCCGTAAGCAGCGTACCTATATGACGTATCTCCGGTTTATAAGTCCATGAAACACTCAAATACAAACTATATGAAAGCAACAAGAAGGTTGTTCAAGTGATTAAAGATTAGTGGCTAATTTAAAGATGATTATTTCCTTACATATAAAAGTATTCCTCTACGTCGAATTTTAAGAACCTAACCAAATTATCCAAAAAGGGTGGGAAATTGCTTTTTTGTGGGAATTTCACAAACTTAAAACAGAGCTCCATGTAAATCTTTAGCAAAACCACATTGCTTCCTAACATAATATTTAAAACCAAACCTCCAAAAACTGAAATTACTAATACTGCAGCTAGGGTGCACCAATTAGAACAATGCATTCAATAACCCATTGTTCATCTCAACGCAATTATAAGCAATGAAAAAAGGAAAGATTAAACCAAATCACTCAGGTAAGGATATAAATGATTTCAGATCCGAAAAATTTTGAAATATATATCTGACCATATCAAATAAACTGGTACCTTGATGTAGCTGTTGAGGCCAACACAAAATTTATCAGGATGCACGACTGGTTTGTCAGATCTATCAAAATGGACCGTACCTTCGAGGGACGCCTGTAGTGTCTTACTTGGCAATTTTGATCCTAAACAAAACCACAAATATAAGTCAATCGATGTTACTGATGAAGTTTAAAATAACCAGCGAACTTGGGAATTATTTTATCGGGAAACACGGCGAAATAATGTATTTTTTCAAAAAGAGACGGCTACAAGATGTGAGAGGGTTGTAAGCAAAGACGAAGACGTAAACGCAGATTGAAGTATCAAACAATATCAGTAACATAATCACATGAAAAATATACGAGCATTTGCCCCCACCACATGCGGAAAAAATCTTCACCACAAAGCATGTTTCTAAAGCGTTTCTTTAAAGGCAACAACATAACTGCATGCAGATACTGATAGAGTTTTGGAAAAGGTTTGTGCATACCTACATTCCAGCAAACAGTGTTTTTGTCAAGGATGACACAATTTGAAGTCATTGGGGAGTAATCGATTCGCTGTATTTGTTTCCTTTAAAAACAAAAAGAATACCAAGTTTGTCAAGTTGTGATTAGAAATTGGTTAACTTTTGCAATAATACAGATGTCTCTCTGGTTTTATGGCAAGCCCAATACAGCTGAAATTTATTCACGTTAAGGCTAATCAGCAACGTTAACAAAAAATGCGACTATTACAAAAAGAAATCATATTGACCTAACATCTACGTTAAAACACCTTTTTAGAAGATAAAAGAAGCTTTTTACATAGTGAGGATCCAACACACTGCATAAGACAACCTTTTTAAAATTACCGTTAAAAAGTTCCAGCTCTTTGAAAAATACTTACCTATTAAAAAAGGGAACTATCACTTTAAGATGTTCAAAGCTATTCTTAACATTCTTCCACAATTTCAGCTGAATTGAGATTTTGGCACAGTGCTCATCATCCTAAATTCAACAAAAATTTAGATTAACCTCATCATGAAATGTCGATTAAAGCCCAAAGTCTAGCAACAAATGCACGAGATAGCCTTCACAGAACCAAGTCGCCTAAAAAAACAATCAGGTTCTATAATGTGGTTTGGTTTCCACATTTCATATTAAATTTTAACAGTATTAATCATCATATAAGCTTACAAATAGTTGAAGTTACCAAACAAAACTGCAATCCCTACCGTCATTTTGTAGTAGGCCATGACAGGTGGAGCATTCAAAGAAGATTTGTAATGAAAAAGCCGAAAGGTTTCAAGCGGTGGACAAAATCGTATCGTCTTCACTCTATACTCATCCATTATTCGTTTGTCATCAACTGTCATTACTGGTGTAACTGTGTCGGATAACTGGGTGCAAGGGTGGAAGACAATGTTCTCTAAGATTGTAGGATCTAATGTGCTGACTACGTCCAAGGAAACTTCCGGAGCACCCTCTAGATCGGCCTGCAAAGATCAGACCATATTAAACAACTGCTTCAAAGACGTCGCTATAGCTATTGGACATCATCAATTACATTTGTTGTTTCTGAAAGAGCCTGTTTCTAAATGTGAATATATCATATACTACTGAATTGTGACACTGAAAAACAGTGGTCTTGCCAAATGTGATTCGGGAAAGATATTTCTTATTCTCTTCCATTCGTCCTTCTTTTTTCTAGTCGTTATTTTCTTCTTTCATTAACTCCTTTATTCCTCCATTCTTGCGTTCTTTCTTTCTTTCCTTCCTTCCTTCCTTCCTTTCTTCCTTCCTTCCTTCCTTCCTTCCTTCCTTCCTTCCTTCCTTCCTTCCTTCCTTCCTTCTTCCTTCCTTCCTTCCTTCCTTCCTTCCTTTCTTCCTTCCTTCCTTCCTTCCTTCCTTCCTTCCTGCCTTCCTTCCTTCCTTCCTTCCTTCCTTCCTTCCTTCCTTCCTTCCTTCCTTCCTTCCTTCCTTCCTTCCTTCCTTCTTTCCTTCTTGTCCCTTTCAGTCTTGTCCTTTTTAGAATATCTCTCTTCTATCAGTTAATATTATATAATAATGAGTATGTTTTTTTATTTCTAATTGATGATTCAAAATTTGTGTAGCCTGGCGCCTATCTTAATGTCAAAGATGTCAAATTCCTTATACATCAAGGCATTACTTTTTGATTGGAAAATCAAATCTTCAATTCTTCAATTAAGCTACAAATAATAGCTGAAAATCCTCCAAGAAACAGAAAAAAACAACTTGCCTTGCAGACAACAGTGCCATATATTTCGCATAAGTCTGCCCGTTCAGGATTGTCATACTAGAATATGGACATATGAATGTTTAGAACTTAAACAGGACCAATTGTGGAAACATTGTGCACATAGTCAACTCATCATTACCAAGTTGACAAAAGTTAAATAACTGATATTATAGGCAAATACAAAAAACCATTTCCAAGAAAAAATGATTTTTTTGCAAAACCCTGCAATGTTTACAGAAGAGAAAATCTTTTATTAAGACAAAATGACCAGTACTGAAATTTTTTAGATTTGGTGGATAAACAAAATTTGTTGGGCTGAAAAATTAAACATTGATATTAGAATGACACTTTCAATTGAAATGTCTCACTCTGCTGCAACATGGGTAAGGTCCAGGTCTTTTTGGAGAAGTGTAAGACCAATGTAGATTGTAGATTGCTAACCTGGATACATCTAACTTTTTCTTGAATTGAAATGCTGATCTGCTGTTTTCCTTTATGAAATACTGGTCTCCAGGCTGGAGCCTAAAATGTAATATCACATAATCATCTTACAAGAATTTTGAATGAAGACTAAATAATAATAAGCCCCCCCCCCCTCGTATAATCCCCCATCAAAAAATCTCAAAAATAAATAAGCCCCCAGGGGGCTAATTCGAGGATTTACGGGTAGTTCTTTGTTCCAGCTCTACTTTTCAAGCATAGCTGTTAATAACATATCATCATGCTCTGCAATAAAACATCAACTTTAACAGTTCACCACACTACTGTTTACTCAAATTTATTTAAGCCAAAGGCTATAAATCTACTAGTCAGCATTCTAACTGATAAAGTAATGCTCTGTTCCACTTCCTATTTCAAATAATAATCAACTTTGTAAAAATCTAGCTCTAGTATAATGTCAGAGAGTTTGACCGGATTGTATAAATGATAGTAAAATGTCTTTTCAGGTTTACAAAACATATTTAGAATCTTTTTTTAGCTGTACACTTTAAGTAGTAAAAATATTTTCATTAAACTACAAAATAAATGATCGTAGGATATAAGAACTTTGTTGTAGGCTCAAAACATTATATGACCGCAAAACAACAATATCTGAAAAGTCGTTCAAATGAAAAAATCCTTTGTTAATTTACTGACCCTGAAAACTTGTACTTAGTTTGTTTTCAATCGTTGATTTTTCAAATCAGATTCATTTACACTAGACAGCTCCTTGTCCTTTCCCATTGTTTTCTATTAATCATTTATTAAAATGAATATATAGAGGTACAATGACAAAATTACCTTTGTTTTTGGCAAGAGATATGAATCCTTTGAGGCTATGATACCACGAACAGTCGATGGGTCCATTTCTGTAGGTGTCCCAAATGGCATACATATGAACAAATAATCTCTCAGTTCTTGAATTTTATCATCAGTTATCTGTGCCAAAGATGTTAGAAACTCACGCCAAACTGACAATATCTTTTTTACTGGGCTAAATCCATCATAACATTATGTAGTGGTGATAATATAATTGATGATGGAAAAAAACGCAGTAAAGCAGAAACAGAGCAGCAATACAAAGTATTTTCCATCAGATTAGAGTATAAACATTGGAAAATGGCTTAAGGCGCATTTGATTGTTTCCTTGTCTTGGACCAACCTGAGTGTTGGAAAAAAGTACTAATTTATGTCATGTTTCTGTTTTCCCATTCTATCTTCAATTTTCATGGAACATGGAATTTTCAAAGGCTTCTTTAGTTAATAAAAACTGCAACAGGCTTGGCATGAACAGTACCATAATGAGACAACAGCTTATCCACATTTTCTATATCAAAGTTCTTTCCAGGAAAAATTAAAAATTTCATAAATTTACCATTATTAGAATATTAAATACCCTGACAAAAATGGGGGAACTCTCCTCAACTAGTTCTCCAAGAAGAATTCAGTTACACACTAAATTAACATATTTTACTTCATTGTTTCCATTGTGATGCTGAATCCCAAACTCAATTATTGAAACTGAACCTAGACAATGTCTGCATATTGTCAGCAATACAGCATTAGTCAGCTTTTTTAGATGATTAAAATCTAAGAAAAAATCATTTTTTACCCCAGATGGTGGTTGTTTTTGACCAACAACATCTGAAATGTTTTGAAGCAGTGAATATCCAATGGCTACAGGGCCCCTAAAACAAAATTTATATTCAAGAAGCATAACTTACTAAGATCAATTTGTATAGATTTATTTTCAAGAAAGGATTCAAAAAGTTAAAAACATAAAGCTTAATCAGAAATAAGTTAATTCAATCAAAAATGACAAGAGTGAGAAATGCATGACATGATGATAATTGCCTATAACCCCTAAGAAGAAATGATGTGGAATCAGTTACTAGTCAGAAATGATGTGAAGTCAAGACATTGGAAATTTCAAACACAAGATTTCCAACCAATAATAAAGTTTTATGACATATTTTTTTTGACTAAATGGCCAAGAGCCACTCTTATGATATACCAAACAGAAGATAATTAGTAAAATTGTAGTCCTTGAAAAGACACGAAACAAATATTAAACAGTGTTTATCAAATAAAGAGAGTTGCTGCTCACTCTTTATTCATAATTTGCATACATTATAACTATTACATTATAAAAAACTAATAGAATCATACATTTCTATGCAACTCAGCTGTCTTTTCTGTGCATTTGGAATGTTTACAAATGGAAGGCAAGCAAACACCAAGCCATGCTAAAAGTGAATTAATTTCTGCAAAAAGCAAAAAGGGCAAAAATCTTTCTAAAGCATACTTTACCCATGGTATGTTGCAATTGATTAAATGATAACTAAACCTTTAGCATTTATGAATAAAGATTTGATTTGAAGAAGCATTTATGCTAAAAGTAAACATTTGTTTTTAAAACCTTTAGATTTCAGCAGGTTATAGTTATTGTTTAGATCTGGATATATAGATATATTCTGAAGATCTTCAGAATCCTTAATGGATTCAAACAAACCACAAATTCTGATAGTTAGGTTTTGGTTCAAATCACGCTAAAGTTAAACATAAACTAGAAACAGAATTCTGCAAAGTCCAATATTTCAAATTTGCAAACAGAAAGCAAAAATTACTTTTAATCTAGAGAAGTGTTTTGGGCTATATTTGCAAGCAGTGATTCGAGATGATGAGATTATTTTCTGAAGCTATTGCAAATGAATAATTCACAAGGACTGAGACATGTTAAAAAATTACTAAAAGATGAAACATACTTTTCTTTCCTTTGTCAGTTTTTTTATTTAGGAAACCATCAGGTGATAAGTTACATCCAATAATAGATTTAATAAAAAACCAATGAGATAAAAATTCCATACCTTAGATATGGCAACAATGGGCCAAATTGAGCCACCTATAATACTGTACATAGGGGCCTGCTTCTGAATCTGACATGAGTCGAAGCGCTTCACAAACTGAGAAAATCAAGGCAGAATGATACTACAAAATTTCAGCTTTACAAAGACACAGACAGTATTTTGAATCATGGTAGGATGCCAAGCATTACAAGTTAAACAATTTAATATCAATCTACCTTTGTATCTAGAAAATTGCAGCAATTGTATTTTACAGAACTTAATTGCATAATATCCACATATCAGAACAATAAAAGCATCTCTGACAATTTGTGACATTATTTCATAAACTCTGAAAATAAAAAGCATTTTTTTTTTCAATTTGCAGCAGTTGCACTTTAGGTTATTCATGTTACTCAGATAGAAAGTCATCAAACTGTGCAGGGGTGGGGGGTAATATACCAAATGAGGACCTTTCTTTAGCTTTGATGTTGTCTGGTTAAATTCAACAGTCTAGTTACTATAATCCAATCAGTTTGCTTCCTAGAATGATGTAGAACAACTTATTACCTCATCACTAGTTCTGTACACTTGAAGTTCATCCAATATGCCATTTGCAATCTCTTCATCCCTAGGAAGTGGCGAACTTGGCAAAAGACCAGCTCTTCTTGCCCTTTTCAAAACAATCGGATATTTTCTAATTGGAAAAACAGGACAGTTAACAAATTAATTTAAACTGTAGTTAATAGAGTAAAACAGAAGGAAAATCAGCAGATGATGGATCCTCAGCTTGCAGAAGGTGCAAAAAATTGACTAGAGTAAAGATCTTCAGACAAATAACTCCACTCAGCCCAACTGGCAAATTCACCAGGAACACACCCAAGATTTGAAGCACCTGCTGCTGG